TTTTCGTATAGTAGAATTTACGTTCAGCTAGGTTATAGATAGTATAACATAGCATAAATGAAACAAAAATACAAGTCAATGATGAACAAAACTATCGATCAGTTGCGAAATACCTCGAAAAGGAAAAAATTAATTACTTCACCTACTAACTTCAAAAGTAGCAAACATATATAAATATATCTTTCTGGAATGCAAATGGCGTTTCGCAGCAGAAATTCGAGCTCTTACAGTTCCTCGCGCAACACGAAATTGACGCCATGCTCATATCAGATACTCACCTAACAAATAAAAAATATTTTCACGTCGATGGCTATAACTTCAATGCGACAAATCATCCAGATAGTAAGGCACATGGAGGTACTGGCGTTCTGATCAAGCATCGCATCAGGCATTATTCGTTGCCATTATTTGCTACACCTTATCTAAAGGCAACATCGATTAATATGGAAATTCAGAGCGGCTACCTAAACCTAGCCGCAGTATACTGCCTACCACGCTTCTGCATTTCCGAAGAAGAATTTGTAAAATTTTTCGACCTATTCGACCTACACGAAGAGTGCTGCAAGCTCAGATTCATGTAGATCACTTAAGAGATCTATCATCGGATCACTCGCCCATTCTTCTTCACCTTTACGATTATCCACAGCTTTCAAAACGCCCACACATTCTAACATCTAGCAAAACAAATTGGCTTAAATACAGAAAGCACCAGTTAAAAAACAAAAACAAAAAACACCAGCTAAACAAACAATCTGCATGCTGCAAACTCTGACTACCCAACTCACTTCTCACAAAGTACTGACACCCTGCTTGAAGTATTTTTTGTTAGTGATCGTCAAAGTATTTTATTATATGACCAAATTTCTGTGCCAGTATTCTCTAGACATGACTTAATATTTCTGACGTATGATGTTTACTTCGAAAACACTGCCGAAAATATATATTACAGGGACTTTAAAAATATTGACTATGTTTCGCTATAAACTTGCTACAACCTCAGTGGACGAACAAGTTTCATTACTTCATAATAACATACTGTAGCTTTACAACAAATGTGTACCAACTAAATCAAACACTATTAGGCCGTCTTTAAAGCTTTGGTTTTCTGAAAATATAATATTGCTAATAAATGCTCGAAATGTTGCTTATGAGCGATGGAAACGATACAAGACAAGCCATCACTACGTCATGTTTAAGGAAGCGAGCCACAAAGTGCAGAATAGCATTAAGAATACTAAAACTAACTATTACACGACCAAATTTCATGAAATCATTTCAACTAGCCAAAAATGGCATGAATTAAAGTCACTCGGTATCGGCAAACAGATGCCGAAATCACCACAGGTGGATATCGACCTTGATGATTTTAACAGAAAATTTGTGCAATCTACCGTACCTACTGTAATAAATAACGTATATCTTGACTGTGATATTTACTGTGATAGTAGATTTAGCTTTGAATGTGTGTTCCAATGTGATGTTGTAGAGTCGATTCTTAAAATTAAATCTAATGCAACAGGACCAGATCATATAAATCCCAAAATTGTTAAGCCACTGCTACCAAAGATAATACTATATGTATATAACACATGTCTTTAATAGTGCAATAATGAGCTCGTTATTTCCAAAGGCCTGGAAAGCAGCCAAAATAATCCAAATACTGAAGTCAAATAATCACTTTAGACCGATTGCCATTTTGCCTTTTCTTTCAAAAGTTCTTGAACGATTGCTCTCAACCCAAATTAGTAACTATATGGCAAGTAATAAACTGCTTAATGAAAAACGAGAAGGAACGTGTGAGTCGCTTCTGGGGACGCGACTCTACTTATACCCGTACTCAGTCAGTATATACATTTTTGAGCATAGAGCTTTTTTAGAATTTTAGAAAAAAAAAAAATTTTACATTTTACATTTTTTTGCTACATCTGCTATCTGCATCTACATATACAATGTCTATTCCACATCTAACATGTAGATTGTACATGTTCCATTCATATTCTACATCTCCTCCGCTAGGGGTTGCTCGCGCACTGAACGCGGCAGAGTGTGCGAGCGAGAAGGAAAATGAGTTGATGGGTCGTTGGCAGGAGGGGGCAGGGGAAGCAACAGAAAATTAATTTCTTCATTCTGGCTATAATTATGATCTGATCTGATTTAGATTCGGCAGTCTGGTAGATATGGTCATTCTCTACGATACTGCGTTTTTAGTTTTATCGTATCTTTAAAAATGTGCCTGCCACAGATTTTCGTCCTTTGTGTGGGCGGAAGGGGGCGGGGCGAAATTTTGAAATACACTTGTAGCAGTGTGATATCACATGAGTCTGGAAACCAAATTTGGTTGCCCTAGCGCATATAGTCTCTGAGATCTAGGCGCTCAACAAGACGGACAGACAGACAGACAGACAGACAGACGGACAGACGAACAGACAGACATGGCTATATCGACTCGGCTATTGATGCTGATCAAGAATATATATACTTTATGGGGTCGGAAACGTTTCCTTCTCTGCGTTACACACATCCACTTTTACCACAAATCTAATATACCCCTTAACTCTTTTTTGAGTACGGGTATAACAATCGGGGTTTAGGAAAAACAGAAGTAGTACTTCTGCAATTCTTAAAGTCACTGAAGACATCCGTAAAAAAATGGATGAAGGACATGTGGCATCCTTGATATTATTAGACTATAGCGAAGCTATATCTGTAGTCACGAAATTTGGGTACCCGTCATCTCTGTCCCCTACGAAAGGAGTTCCGCAAGGATGGATCTTTGGACCATTATTGTTTTCTGTTTATGTAAATGACCTTCCCAATGTACTGTCTGAGTGTGAAGTCCATTTATATGCTGATGACGTCCAAATGTATTTATGCCGTCCCGTAAATAACATAAATTAGTGTGCAATAATAATCAATAGGTAAGTAACAAACATAAACAGTTGGGAAATCAATAACGGACTGTGAATAAACCCAACTAAATCTAAATGCCTAGTAATCTCAAAGAAGAAAGTCGAATTTACTAACCTACGCAAAATAAAAATAAATCATAATACCATTACATACACAACAACGGCAAATAATCTGGGCCTGGTTTTTAATAGCATGCGTACATGGAATGATCACATCATAAAGGTCGTAGGTAGAACCTATGGTTTGCTAAGAACTTTAAACATGACACAACACAGAAAATATTCGTCTCTTAGTTGCTAAAACTCTATTGATACCAACACTTTTTTTTATGGCGTAGAGCTATTTGCAAACTGTGATAGTAGTTGCAAGCAAAAACTGAATGTCGTATTCAATAGTATAGCAAGATATATGTTTAATAAAAGAAGGAGGGAGCATATACTCATGCAGGCAGAATTTTTGGTATAGGTTTAACAAAATGGATTGACTCGCGAGCATTAATATTTTTACATAAAATTATAGCCAAGAAAGAACCACTATATCTATCAGACATACTAAGGTTTACTGCATCATGGAGAACAAATAATATAGTATGTCTTAAACACAGACTAGCTAGCTCTGAAAGACACTTTTTCATTGAAACTGTTCGCCTATGGAACCAATTCCCAAATAGCTTAAAAACAACTGTAGACGCATTAAAATTCAAGACAAATTTGACTCTACATCTGAAAACTCTAAATTAAAAGAATAACATAACTCAAAATAAAATTAAGAATGTATTATGTTTAGGAGATATTTAAATTTAAATTTAGAATTAAAAATGTGTATAAAATTAAGCAAGAAACATAACATAAGCATATTAGCTATAGGAACTATTCAATCTATTCCAATTTAATTTAATAACACTAGTCAACACGATTTTTCCTCAAGGAACAAAACGAACATTTTCTAAAAGATTTGGGGCTTAGAAATGGTTTGATGATATTTTTATTTTTTTTCTATGGCAGAACTTTTTTTTTAAGAATTTTTGAAAACTGGTATTTTTTTTTAACCTTTTTTCAGAGGTAGCGCTTGTTTTTTTCACATAGCTCTAGTATCTTACGTCTGGTTGTAAAGAACTTTGCTATTTTGAAAAGATAATTAAAACAGCTAGAAGTTAAGCCCAAACACTTTGTGATTTCAGCTTACCGTCTGGGAAATATTGTTACGAACCTGTTTTGGTGGTGGGGCAAGACCGGCTAGCCAGTCATCTCAGGGATAGGTGTTTTCCAGGCCCCCAGGTCGCACAACAAACCAGCTGTTCGGGCATCTCGAACAAATATGATAACAAAACGACGATTCAAAACAAACCAACGGACTTTACTCTAAACCTCACGGATAATCATCTCTCCGACGCAGAACAACTACAAATCTCCTCTTTTCCCCAAGTGCAGCGGCCGATCTCCATTTCGCCGCTGTGGTCCCCTGGATTCGCGTTACCTGGATTCGCGGCCGGGTGGATGGAGTTTTTGCCCATATGCGGGAGGCCAACAGGTTCAAGTAATCCTTTTTTTATTTATATTCAAAAAAATAAGTCCTCTAAATTGCCCGCCGGTCTGTTTCTCTTCTAGCTTTGTTTCCCGATTTTTTTCCCACGGTCTGACACTGTCGATGTTTAATTTTCAACTCCCTGCATTGTCAGCGTAGCTGCCCTATGCAGTCTCCTCGCTGCTGATCACATCTCTTCTATTGCCCTTCAACCAAGTTCAAGGGCATGGCATGGCATTCTTGATGGTGTGCAATATTATTCGAGCCTCTCTTAAATTATCCCCTCTCTCTCTCACCGGCACCGTTGCTCGCCTTGCCCCTTCAATTATCGCCCTGCCAACCTAAAAAAAAAATACTGGCAAATCCGGTATTTTGCCTATCGATCTCCTTCGAATGCAACACCTCGCGAAAATTCAGGCGTACCTGGACGGAAGAATTATTCGCAAACACTCGAAGGAAATTGAAATCTAACGGCTTTACCCTAAGATCTTGCAGCGCCCAACGTAGGCTCACACCCACTCGGTTTGTACATGAGTGTCCTATTCTTCTTCCCTTCTCTTAAAGCACTACAATTTCAGGTCTTTGGCGTGAAAAATCCCCACCGGATTCCCCGCCAGGTCTTCAAGTTCATAGGCATTATTTCCAACCGGGCGTACGACTCGGCACTTCAGGAACTTCCGGGCGAACTTAGCGTTGTAGCTCTTCCCAAAGTCACTGAGGGTGAAGTTGCGCCTGTATACTTCTTGCCCAGGTTTGGCGAAGAATATTCGGGCCCGTTTGTTGTAGCGCTGGCTGCTGCGCTCATACGCTTGGTGAAGGTTGGCCTTAATACGTTCCCGGATGATGTGGCATTTATTCGCAGGGTCCAATGCGTGCACCTCATGCTCCGTCAGCGACTGCAGCTTCCTCGCCAACTTATAGCAGTTCCCATCAAGGAACATTTGCTGTCCAAAAACTGCAAAAAACGGCGTCACGCCGTATCCCAGTCTCGATGATCCTTCTCTAAATACGTCCTGATTGCAGCTAATATTGTCCGGTTCACCCTCTCGGCGGCATTGCTCTGTGGTGAGTAGACTGCTGTGCGCAGATGTCGGACGCCAAAGGTGCTGATCATGTCCTGGAAGATCTTCGACAGGAACTGTTTTCCGTTGTCGGAGTGGATCAACTCGGGCACCCCAAACTTGTAGAACACTTCCTGTACTAGGAATTGAACTACGTTCACCGCGGTCGCCTCTCTCATCGTTTTCAGGAAGGTGAATTTAGAGAAGTGGTCAACGACGACAAAAATCCAGGCTTGTCCCCTTTTCGACCGGGGATACTTTCCCAGAAAATCGATGTATAATTTCTGGAACGGCCTCTCCGTTACGACTTCCTGACCGATCCCTACCTGGCTTCGATAATTGGGTGCTTTGGACTCCTTACATGCATCGCAATTCCGGACATACTCCCGCACTTGTGTCGTCATCGCTGGCCAGTAGAATTGCCTTCTAAGCCGATGCCGATGCCTTCTTAAGTCCGCCGTGTCCAGCTGTGTGGTCTTCGTGGGCCTTGGAGATGAGAGTTTCCGTCAGTGACGCGGGAATCCATAATTTCCAAATGGACCCTTCCACTTGGTCGTCCATTTGCGTGAAGGCCATTCGCTTGAATATCAAATCCCCTTCCACTCGTAAGTCGGGCAACATGTCTTGATTCTTGCCGATTTCTCCTTTCAGCTCCTGATATTCTGAAGACTCAAACTCTGTCGTCTGGAACCCGAGAATCTCCATTGGATCTATCACCACTTCGTCGATGCAGCGTGAGAGTGTATCCGCCACGACGTTATCGACTCCTTTCCGGTGTTCGATCCCAAAGCCGTTTCATCCTCCGTGGACAGGGAAAACTTTCCACGCGGATGCTTCTTCAGCGCGTCTGTCAGCGGCACTGCAATGGAAGCGTAATCCTTGATGAAGCGCCTGTACCATCCTGCGGTTCCTAGGAAGCTTCTTAGTTCCTTCACTGAACTCGTATTGGGAATCCTTTGAATGGCCAAAACTCTCTCAGGATCCATCTGCAACGTGCCACCTCCGATGATAAATCCCAGGTATTTCAGTGACCTAAAGCAAAATTTTTATTTTTGTAAGCCTATTGTTAAATTTGCTTTTCGCAGGCACTGGGCCACCAACCGAAGGTACCGGAGATGTGTCTGGAAATCGGGAGCTATCACCAAGAGATCATCCAGATAGACGAAAACGTTTTTTAGACGAACGGTGAACGCTGTACACTTCCTGCTTTCTGGATCCAGCTTGATTTGCCAGAACGCAAATTTGAGGTCTACACTGGAAATGTAGTGCGTCTGGTCGATCCTGGACAGTATTCCCTCGATGCTAGGAAGAGGGTATGCGTCTTTGACGGTGAGTTGGTTCAGCTTTCGCGCGTCCAAACAAAATCTGTTTTTGTTAGGTTTCCGCACTACCGTCGTCCTGTTGCTCCACGGACTATCGCTAACCTCTATCACTCCCAGTTCCAGCATCTTGTCCACTTCGGTCCAGACCACTTCCTGCATCGCTGGGGATTGAGGGTAGTGTCGATCTTTAAAATGCTCCGCGCCCTCTACCAACTGGATCCGATGCTCCTCTACCGTCGTTGACCCTAATCCGGCATCTTCGTAAGTTAGGAACTCCTTCTTCACCTCCTCCAGTTCTTCAGCTTCTTTCTCTTCCAGGTCCCACGCGTCCACATGTACGTTCTCCTGGTGGTCTTCGGCATATTGGCTGATTTGTGACATCTGGACTTCGGATATCTTGGCATCGCTGGGCGAACTTGGATAAGCTCCGAGGACAGTGGGTGCCAACGCGAACGACCTCCAAAAATCGACACCCAAGTACATGACTTGCTCCAGGTATGGACAGATGTAAAAGAGAATGTCCTTGTTGATTCCTTTGTACTCCACAGGGATTCTCGCCTTGCCGATTATGGTCCGGTCCTCTCCTGCGGCGGTTTTGACGATCGAGATATAGTTGTCCATCTCCACCCCGAGGTCGTCTAGTAGCTCACGACTGCCCTTTCCGAGGACACTTACGGATGCCCCAGTATCCAGGAGTCCGGAAATCTTCCGTCCTAGGATTTGCACCTTGGCAAAAACCCTTGGGTCACGTCCTGCTCCACGCCTGACTGCTTCAGCCACCTCCTTGCGAGTCTGTCTCCTTTGCCGGAAGCGTGCCCGGGCCTTCTGGAGTCTACGGCTGACACCTCGCATTCCACTCAGCTGATGTCCGTCAAAGATCCGATTTCGGACTTGTGTATATCTCCTCATCCTCTCTTCGGCCGGTAAGAATTTTAAACTATATTTTTCTGCACTACTTGGGGTTAATATGCTTAATTTTTACAAACTCCAACAGCGCATCCTTCACTTTCTCGCGGGCCTCCGTCCCGAGCTCTGATGTCCCGCCTTTATCATGCCCGTTCTTGCGTTTCCCGAGCAGTTGGGACACTTCGGCGTGTACGTTTCGGGCTTTCCGCAGAGGTAGCAGAATACTCTCGGAACCCGTGGTCAACTTCTCCGCAATTCCAGCAACCCAGCCTCGGCTTCGCTGTCAGGTGGGTTTCCTCAACCATCACCTCTTCCTCTCCTTCCAACAGCTCCGAATCTGGCTCTATCTCCTCGACTCGCTTCCCGCTTTAAGTCCTCCCAGACTTCTGGAGGCCTCTCTCGGACAAACTGCCAGTACCACTCGGCAGCCCGTCCTCTCACCAGATGGTGAAAATTATTCAGGACTTCGTCCCACGAGCGTCGACTCTGCCTCTGGAGAAATTCGACCCGAAAGACAAAATCCTCCACCGTCAGTTTGGCTGGGTCTGGGTCGCCATCGAATTGGATGTCCCACTTGTCGACGCGTCCCCATCTCGGCTCTCTCCACTCGTCTCGCCTCTCGTAGGGCGTCGTGAATCGCCGAGCTCCGCCGTCTCCTGCTGGTTCCCGTTCCAGTACCATCGGTCTCGTTTCCAGACCGCCATCTTCTACCATGCGGGACCAACTTTGGCTCCGTCTCTCCGGCTTCCTTGGAGGCGCTTGTGGAATATGCTCCTGTTGTTCCACGGAACCTTTGGGTCTGGTGCCGGTACTCTGTCTTCGCCATTCTGGAGCCACCGGACCGCCTTCTCTGCCATTTGGACCATTCTCCCAGCCCAGATCATGGATCAATTCTCCCTTCTGGCGCCGGGGCGTCATTGCCTCCGTTATGGCACCCATCAGCTCCATAAATCCACGACGGATCTCCTCTTGCAGCGTCCTGCTGATGGTGTCCGCCATAGCACCTCTCTGCGTCTCCTGCGCTTGTGCTGTGGCGACGTTTATGCCCGAAAGAATTTCCGACGGCAATTCTTTTGGGGTCTTCGGCAGGTTCCAGCTGTCGTTCTCGCCTCCTTCCGCGCCCTGACTATCTCCTCCTCGCATCTGTTCAGGCAGGTTTCCTGGCGGAGGAGTCCTGCGAGTCATTTTCCCTTTTGACCGTAAGTTGTAGCTGCTCATAAACTTTTTCTAACTACCTAACTTTCCTTTCCTTCACAGACAACTACCTAACTCCAACAAAACTCAACACGGAAAATAAAAAAAAACTGCAAGATCAACCACAAGAGGGGAAAGTAACCACAACTGCTACTGGAGCCATCTGCACTTGGTTCCCTACGTCTTTGCTTGTCCAACGTCTACCTTCTTAGTCGCGAGCGCTGTTGACTTCTCATCTTCTACAGAAGATTAAAAGTCAAGGGCGCTCACTCTTCTACCTAGCTGCTTCTGTCCCACTAATCTACTGAAGGATATCCTCGGGATCCTGTAGCTGCTCCAGGTGCATCGCGTGGCCGACTAAATGTCCCTACGGGCCACCTACAGCAAAAATCTCTACGAGATACTACCTTCCCGGCCTCCTCCAGCGGTAAGTAGGGTAAGCAGCACAAACAAAAACTACTCGACCTTAACTAACTTTGGGTATTTTCTCTTTCCAGGCTCTCTTTCGTCCCCCAGGCAACGGGTCGGTTGCTAACTGGCTTGAGGATTCTCCTCAGTCAGTGCCAACCTCACCCCCTTGAGAGCTCCGGCTTCCCTCTGTCAGATAAGTTTAAACACAAACTACAAAAAAAACAATTTACTTTGTGGATTCCTACATTTTCAGATCCCTCAGTGCCGTGCATCTGCGAGCCAACCTTCACAGCTCCTCACAGGCCACCGGAACACAGACGGACCCTTACTGCAGACTACCACTCGAGATCGTTCCTCTCGGCTGGACATTTATAACCTCCTCGACTTTTGTGATTCGCAGCCGTACTCACCCACTTTCGTGTTCGAGAACGGACTGCGACTCACAAATTTGTCTTAGATTGGGCGCCATTATTGTTACGAACCTGTTTTGGTGGTGGGGCAAGACCGGCTAGCCAGTCATCTCAGGGATAGGTGTTTCCCAGGCCCCCAGGTCGCACAACAAACCAGCTGTTCGGGATCAAATATGATAACAAAACGACGATTCAAAACAAACCAACGACTGATTCTAAACCTCACGGATAATCATCTCTCCAACGCAGAACACTACAATTCTCCTCTTTTCCCCAAGTGCAGCGGCCGATCTCCTTTTTCCGCCGCGGCCCCCCCCCCACCTCACGGATAATCACCTCATCAGTCAAACGTATAATCACTTCAAAACAACTACAAATCCCTCACTCCCGCTCGGTGCGAAAAATTAATACATATACATAGTGGGGTTATGTGGGTGTATTGTAATTTTATTTATTAATTATCTGTTCTTGGCGGCGCTGTTACCTGGATTCGCGGCCGGGTGGATGGAGTTTTTGCCCATATGCGGGAGGCCAACAGGTTCAAGTAATCCTTTTTATACCCGTACTCAAAAAAGAGTTAAGGGGTATATTAGATTTGTGGTAAAAGTGGATGTGTGTAACGCAGAGAAGGAAACGTTTCCGACCCCATAAAGTATATATATTCTTGATCAGCATCAATAGCCGAGTCGATATAGCCATGTCTGTCTGTCCGTCTGTCCGTCTGTCTGTCTGTCTGTCTGTCTGTCTGTCCGTCTTGTTGAGCGCCTAGATCTCAGAGACTATAAGAGCTAGGGCAACCAAATTTGGTTTCCAGACTCATGTGATATCCCACTGTTACAAGTGTATTTCAAAATTTTGCCCCGCCCCCTTCCGCCCACACAAAGGACGAAAATCTGTGGCAGGCACATTTTTAAAGATACGATAAAATTAAAGACG